AAAAAATAGGTTTAGGGGTTAAAAAAACGGGTTACCCATGTGTGGGGGCTCATTGAGGCTGAGATCTTCCGGCTGGCCCGCAGACTCCCTGCTGGTCATGTTGAACGTTCACATTGCAGGGCTCCGATGGCTCCCGCTTCGCGGGCTTTCGCCTCGCTTCAATCCCGAGGTGTCGCAGCGCCTCCTCGTTGGCAAGGATCTGGAGCAAGTTCGTGCTGCAGGTTGGCTTCCAGGCCGAGGGCAGTTAGAGCCATTCTTTTGACGATAGAGTTCCCACCAAGGTTAACTTTGGGCCTCTTTTGATGTTCGGCGTCATGACCAGCTTGATCGTCTTATCAGTCTAATCCTCATGCTGTGATGTTTGCCGGGTGTCTTCTTGGAGTATGCTTGGGGTGCTACATCGTGCTACCAGCGGACCATACGCAGTAGTGCTACTTAGCAGACGACGTCAAAAGGGCCTGACGGTGTCCAAACTCTTATAAAAACCACCTGAGGTGAAATACTGTACGTGGCTGAAGGCTCAGGCTTCAGAAACAACTGCTGAGGCAACGGCAGCAACTGCTGTAAAGCTGAAGGGCCTGAAACTGTTCAAGGATGCGGGCTCATGTCGCAGAGGCACCTATAGCCAAACTATCGCGGGTGCCAGCGTGTTCTCTTCAGTTTGTCTTCGATTATGGACTCGAAGCGCGAAGCGGTTGTCGGGCATGTATCACGATTCACACTCGTGGCCCTCCAGCCGAAACCTGTAGTCGCTGCAGTTCGCTCTCGCACACGGTCGCTTCTAAAGCTTGATTTCAATACCTCCCATGTCCAGGATTGGAGGGACCAGCCTTTTTGCGCTTGCACAGCCGTTGGTGGGCTTCTCAGTCACTGGATTTGTATGGTGTGTGGCAACACCTAGAAAGTCGGAGGCAGGGGACGTCAGAAGATGCAAAAAAGACGCATCGGGTACTGGAGCGTGGCACTCATCCGCACTCCAGAAGGCCCTGGTGAACAAACGTTTAATGCTTCGAACTGAGGCATGATGCTGTTCCTGCATTGCGAATTTGGCAGTTTGACGATCACACGGCGCTGGCTGGGGAGGAATTGCAAGCCAGTTGCGTCCTGGATTTTAGGTGTCAGTTTTCGTGCAAGCGGAGGCGAAGACTATGCTTACCAGGTTTGGTCATGCGATGAAAGCCACAGCCTTGGCGCTTAGGAAGTTAAGCCGTTGTCAAGATTAGTGCTCGCTGTCTCCGGACCTCAGGAGGATAGAGCATGCAAAGCCCGACAAAAAGCACTGATCTAAATGAGAGGGACGCTGGAGAGGGCAGTCAGCTCAAGCAAGCACGCACGAAAAGCATAGAAACATTGGGCCTAGCAACAAGCTTCTCTCGCCGGGATGCTTGGCGGAGCTACTCGCCCTGCTGTCGCTGTCTGCTCCAGCGGCACGTATAAGCCTAGATGGATGCAAGCAACACTCCACAAGACTTACCTTCCTGGCCCTCCTGTCCAACAAGCGTGCCGAAACGCAGGAGATAGAACAGCTACAAAAAGGCTGGGTGTGGAGCAAACGATCACCAACCAAGAAGACCGATAGCTCTGTGTCCTGTCGTCAGCTGAGGTTCGTGTCCGCTTTCTTGGGAATTCCTTCCCTGGTAATGTTTGCCAAGCTCTCAGCTCCCAGCGGGGCCCAAAGCTGCAAGTCAGGGCCTGAGCTCTCGTCGAGGCCGAAACTACGACTTGTGCGCGCAACCGGAGGACAAGGCGAGACCTTGCGACGATTCCTGTGCAGTGCTGCTGTCAGTTGCTGGTATCTTGTGCTTTGTATCGGCGCAAGTGCGCGCAACTCCTGGTGTTTTCATGTGTTTGCTGGAGGCTCAAGTCGCATGTGCCAGTTTTGTCTTGGGGGGTGCATCGCTCGATGCTGCCATTTCTGGTCGTTGCGCTTAGCTTGGTCGCAAACTGAGTGGGCTCGGAGAACATCACTGGCTTGACCGGAGAAGTCGCCTGCAGCCATGCAGTTCCTGCAATTCTCTTGGATCCTCTGGGTGCAGCTGCTTGCCTGATGGCTCTTGGCTTTCTGTTGGGCCCATTCGTTGGAAGATACGACACCATGTCCGATTTGATGGTCCATCGCTTCGGGAGCACTGTAGGCGGAATTGCGGCCGCCCTGTCCTTGATTGGATCGGTGCTTTGGGCTGGGGCTCAGTACAAGGCCATTTTCAGTTTGGCTCTCGGCCTAAACGTCTGTGCAGCCGAATGGCTTGAGCCAACAGTTGCTCTCGGGCTGTTGTCCTGGTCTATTGTCGGGGGCTTCCTGGCGGATGTTTGGTTGGACGCTCTCTCCATGATCGTCGTTGCCCCTACGATGATGATATTGGCAACATTGGCATGGAAACAATTGCCGCAAAGAGTGCTGCAAGCAGAACAGGTTCATGCGCTTGCTGTTGCGCCGTCTCTTGCCGCTAACAAGTTCGCTATTGGACTTTTCGGCAATTTGTTCACCGAGGAATTGGCCGGTCGAGTCCTCGCGGCCAAGTCTCCACAACAAGCGAGGCTCGCATGCTTGATTGCGTGTTTGCTGTTTGGTACCATTGGATTGGCACCTGCCATCCTTGGTCTTTGGTCGAACTACAATGGTTTGCTCAAGACTTCAGACGGACAGGATCTTTGCGAGTCGCAAGATCAAGTCATTGGAGTGGCCGTTCAGCGACTTCTGCCGCCTCAGCTGACCGGTAAGGAGCATGTTCTGGTCGGCATCTTGATCCTGGAATCGTTGAACACGGTCGACACCAGCATCCTCATGTGCGCCAAGGTGATGGCAAGTCAAGCTAGAAGATGTCAAATCTGGCCTCAAGCTGCATGGGCAGATCATGCAGCTGTCGTTCTTGCACTTGGTTTGGTCAGCGGTGTGTCCAAACTGGGTGACAATGTTTGGGAACTTGCAGAAGAGGCGACAGCAGCAGTCGGTGCTCCACTGGCCTTGCTATGCATGCTGATTCCATTTCCAAGACACGATCGATTCGCTGCAGGACTTGGGGCATCTGTGGCTCAGGCAATGTTTTTGTGCCTAAAGTCTAGTGACATCGGAGAAATGCCACTTCTTTGGGCGATCATGGCTGGCGGAGCCACCTATGCTGTCGGTAGATTGGTTTTCTGAAAGCACCAAGGATTTGTCTGAAGCCGAACGGGACGTCCTACTTGCAACATAGCCAATGGGTCCACAACGCGCCCTGCACACGGTGCATGGTAGTGCTAAGCAGGGACTGCTGCGTGCCCGGTGAAAAAGCGTTCGCATCTTCAGAAGAGGGACACCTCCTCTATCAGCTGCACTTCTCTCTTTCTTGGCTTCAATCTCCAGCTCTTAGCTGAACTTCCCTTGAGGAGCTCCTGCAGGGACTTCTGCGACGCTACTACAAAGACAAGCAGGCAGCGGTAGTTTGAGAAGCGACGGATAGAGCTTGCCAGCTCCGGTCTTGGATCAAAGCTGCCTTTTGTCAAGGCATTCGCTACCGTTGCAGCTGCTTTCGAAGAAGCTCTGGGGCAAAGGTTGCCAGCCGTAATTGTGATGATAAGAGTCGTCGTGCCGGATGGAAGACTTAGCATTTTTTCAATTGCCAAGTTTGCTCGGGCAGGCTCTCGCGAGAGGCCGACGTGCTTATGTGCTCGCAACCGTTGGGCGTGCCCCTTGCGAGCTTCTCGGTGCATCGAAACAAGAAAACCTCAAGTTCTTTGTTCAAAGGTTGGTGTCGCTTCCTGATCAACCTGCGCATGCCGATGCTTCTCTACGCTGGGCTGCCGGTGATGTGGGATCGATGAGAATACGTTCTTGCTTATGCTTGCATCGTCAAGCCACCAAGTCAAGCTGCTGCAGGATGTGCCTGAAGCCGATCGTACTGGCTGGGCGGCAGACTTTGCAGACATCTTGATGAGCGATGGTACTCAGACGGTCCTTTTTCCGCAAGTGGTTCATGAACTTCTGTGAAGCGGAGGCCAAGAACATGTGGTCATAGCGAACAGTGTGTTCGTTGACAGATTCTCAGCTTCTGTCTTCGGTGTTTAATTGACTTTATTCCTGGAAGCACTGGTTGACAGGCGAGAGAGGTCCAGTGGCAGTTTGGAGTGCGGGTGCCGACGTTGAGACCACTGGGCTTGCACACAAATGCGATGCACGTGTCCAAGCCCGAGCCGGGAAGCATCCTGTAGCATGCTCTTAGATGCTCTGAATACACACGGTGAAGGCCTGTGTTGAATGCCTCTGTCTTGGTGAGCCGCTTTGGAACCAGCGGAGGGCTTTCGGAACCTGCCTTAGTTCTGCTGGTGAGGGTTCTCCATTGGATTTCGTTGGCTCTCATCTTCCGTTTGTACTGTCATACTGGTAGATACGAGTGCAACAGAGTTCCATGCTTGCATTGTTTGGAGCCCTTCGAGCGCATTGGAGTTCTGAGATGCCGATAACGATTCCTGCAGCTGAGGAGTGTTTGTTGGAGAAGTTCGCGGCGGTCAACAGGCATTGGCCTGGAGCTCTGAAGCCATTCATACCAGTAGTTGGGCTGAGCTGCTGAGCGGCTGCTCTTAGCATGCTGTGTTGCTTAGGTTTCCCCTCCATTTTGTGCAGATGGAGTCCTTGCTCTTTGCAGAGCACCTGGTGGGCCGCCCAGTTACAAAGCTCGTGCCCCCGGACTGGATGAGCGTAACTCTGTAACGACGAATCCTTTGAGTAAATGGCTCGAAGCGTTGGTTAACGTGCGGGCCATGTCGCTGACCATCGAGGAGCTCTCTTCGGAACCTTACTGCCAGGCCCATCTTTTTGCCGATGACGTGCCGGAGAGTCAGAAGAAAGCCCTCTTGAAACAGCTGAACGCGATCGATGGCAGTCTGCCGGGCACGGAGCTTGGTGACATCACTTAGTTCCCTTTCCCTAACTACCTGTCTTCCATTCCCCTGCTTACTATCCTCGTCCTAGCTCTGGCTTCGGTCGTCTCCTTCCTGGGGCGCTCTTCTCTTCTCTTCTCTTCCCAACTGCATGAGCATCTCGTGTGCGCGCGCTCTCTCTCCACCTTCATCCCTTTGGCTCCCATCAGTGAACCAGAATGCAATGCCACACTCAGCTTCGCGGCGGAGTCCTGCTCACCCAGGTGGCGGACTGAAGGGCTACCTGGACCGTGGGCGTTCCCTGCTCCAAGAGGTCGGGGCCGAAAGACAGCGGGTTTGAAGCTCTGGTCTACAGACTCCCTGAGATAGCCAGCCGTTGCAAAAATTCCAGGTTTCACACCGTAGCGCGAATTGCTTGGTACAAGCCTTTCGTGTCGGCGCAGGCCCAAGCCGGAGTGAACCCCTTTGCCGGGCTCGTGCCTTCGGTGCCGGAGGGGCAGCAGCTCTTCGGCGAGACGGGCCCTGGCAGCCCCACATTTGCTGCTGCAGAGGAGCTGGGCATGGCAGAGTTGTCGAAGTGCTGCTTTTGCCTCGTGGCCGGCGGCCTTGGCGAGCGCTTGGGCTTCCCTGGCATAAAGATCGGCATCGTGACGGAAGTCATCACGGGGACCACGTTCATCGAGCTGTTTTGCTCGTACATCCTAGCATGTCAATCTTATGCGCGCACCGACACTGGTGATTCTGGCCTGCTGCTGCCACTCGCCATCATGACATCGGGCGACACGCATGACAAAACCGTTCACATGATGAGAGAAAACGATGCTTGGATCAGCTTTAAACACCTTGGCTTTGGCACGTCTAACTTGGTAGTGCCTCTGCAATCATTTCTCACAATCCCAGGCTTTCTTTGGGATGGTGGAGGAGCAGGCCAGGAATAGACAAACATGCCATGGCGTCATATGATGCTTTCCCTGGCAGGTGCATTTTCTGAAGCAGGAAAAGGTACCTGCACTTGTGGACGTTGACGCCCACATTTCTGCCAAGGACGGTTGTATCGAAACAAAGCCGCATGGTCATGGCCACTCAGTTCTATTCGCCATGTGTTCCAAGTGCGGTTTGCGTCTAGGCGCTGCTGCTCACGCATTCCAAGGTGACATTCATGGGCTCATGCATCAACGGGGCCTCGCCAATCGCTGGGTGGAAGAGGGCCGGCGCTGGTTCTTCGTATTTCAGGACACAAATCCATTGCACTTCCGTATCCTTTGCGCTTTGCTTGGTGTCTCTGCGAAGAACGGCTACGTCATGAATTCCGTGGCCATTCCCAGGATACCCGGCGAATCCATTGGTGGCATCTGCAGGCTCACGAGTCCTTCGGGCACCGCCATGACCCTGAATGTTGAGTACAACCAACTCGAACCGCTGCTGAAAGAGACTTCGGCTGGTGGCGATATACCGGATGACTCGGGATACTCACCGTATCCAGGGAATATAAATGTGCTGCTCTTCCACTTGCCCAGGTATTCTGAGTGCCTAGACGGCAGCGGCGGCATCGTACCAGAGTTCATCAACCCGAAGTGGGCGGACCCTGCCAAGACTCGGTTCAAATCGTCGTCGCGCCTCGAATGTATGATGCAGGATTTCCCGCGACTCTGCGGACCAGGTGACAAGGTCGGAGTCACGCAAGTGGAGCGTTGGATTTCAAAGACATCTGTCAAGAACAACCTGGCGGATGCTGTAAAGAAGAATCCGCCGGAATGCGCGCTGACGTGCGAGGCGGACTTGTACTCATGCAATGTGCGGCTGCTGCAGAAGCTTGGCTTTCTGAAACCCGTTGATCTTAGGAACTCTTTGTCATCATGGTGCAAGCCGTCTTCTTCACAGCCGGCACATGAACACGGGAGCTAGATAAGGCTAGAGTTTCCTACATAGTTCCTGCATTCAGCAAACCACGCTGCTAGATATTTCCTGCATTCAGCAGCCAAACTGCTAGACGTTTCCTTCGTTCAGAAACCAAGCTGGTAATTTTTTCCTTCGCTCGGAACCCTTGCTGAACTTGGGAACTGTACGTTCAATATGATTTTCTAAGAGTTTTCCTCTCAAGGTGCCCAGCTTGAGAAAGAAAAATGTACCGGACAAACGATGTGAACCCAGCATTTTCTTGCATCCCTGGTACTCCGGGACCTGGCCGGAATCTAGCACTTTCTGGCATTATCTAGCATTGTCTAGCATTTTCTAGCATTGACGTCAGGCAGTGGCCGGAATCTAGCATTATCTAGCATTTTCTAGCATCCTGGTCCTCCGGGACCTGACCGGAATCTAGCATTTTCTAGCATTGTCTAGCATTCTCTAGCATATTGTCTAGCAGAATCTAGCATTGCTATCTAGGTTGGCGCAGTGTTTGCATGGTGGGAGGCAAAAAAATGGTTTAGGGTGTAACGTTCCGTTCTTGAAAACAGGAAGCCCAGCACTTTTGGGCACTACCGTGTTCCGGACCTACCCTTTCACTCTTGCAAAGCCACAGATCTTCGGCGCATGAGCAAAATAAGTATCTAGTTTCTTTCTAGCTTTCTCTAGCTTTACCTAGCTTTGTCTAGCCGCCCTTGTCTGGCTAGATTTTTCCTGCGGCTGTGAACCTGACGGCCGGGAAGCCACCACCAATGTATTCCCTTGAGTTGAGTACGTCAGGACTGAAACGGTCCAATTCGGTTCGGCAGACAACCCAGGCTTGCGGGTGCCGACATCGAGGAACCAGATGAGGTGTCCTTCCTGGGTATACATGCCAAAATCGGAGCGAAGAGTCTCGGCTGTCCTGGCAGCGTCGAAGTCGACCCATAGGCGGCATGAGACGGCGTGGTGACCTCCGAGGATTGTGCTGAAGCCTTCTTTCGCGATTTCTGTGGTGCAGCTTCAGAAGAAGCTGAAAGGAAGGAAGCTTGCCTTGCAACGGCTTGTAGCCAGCTTCTCATGTCTGAGCCTGAGCGCTCGCTCGTGAGCCCAGGATTGCCATCTCAAAAAGATCCACTTTAGTCTTGGAGGGCGATGCCCTGTGCTTAGTGCTCGGCACGCTACGCACACTCGGATCAGTGAGCACGAAAGAAGACGCCGAGGTGGTGGTGGATGGTCTGGAGCTGGATGGGGCCCTACACCTTGCCGGCACGGGATGCGCAAGAGGCCTCCAGCGAGAGCCAAGTCAAAAAGCCATGAAGCTCCGAACTGGCGTTGCAGGACTTCAGGTACAGAACCGGGGAGTCTCCATCGTCGGCATTCCAGACTCCGAGTTGGCGGACGCGAGCCCATCCCATCAGATCCGCGGGCGAACAGGCTTCAATAACACAGTGCCAACAGCTAAGCATGCTGAAGCGCAGAGTGATGGGACCTTCGCTGCATATGCTTAACTTGAGGTACAAGGCAGACATCCTCGAAATGACCAGCAGACATCTTGAAGGAGATGCAGGCTGACTGCGACGGTCCTGAAGTCCTCAACACCCAGATCTTGCCCTGTGCCTTGCCTTGGCGGGCTCGGTCGACTTCCGGCACCTGCAGCTCGACAGTTCTGATCTCGAAGCCGGTCCACCGCAAACTGCCACGAGCGTTTCAACTTCCCAGGGGCATCGGACTCAAGCAAGATCTGACAGCGTTTCGTGCCTCTGTGCCGACCACCTTGCAAGAAAGCAGCGCCGGCCCACAGAGCGAAAACACAGCAGACTTGGTCAGAACAGAGGTTCTGTTCTTGGCAAGGCACAAGCTTGAAGGGGTCAGGTGATACTGTATCAATGCAACCGAATGCACTGAAGGCCTCAACGGGAGAAAACGAGCTCGAAGATGCGAAAACCTGGGAGGAGCACACCAGCGAAATTAAGGCTCGGTCTACTTCCTAGACTGAAGAGTCTCACCCAAATTTGTGATCACATGCTGCATTCGTCACGCAATTTATGTCGTGCTGCTTCCGAATTGCAAGAGCAGTGGTCTTCTGTTCCGTCACAAGAAAGAGATGCGATGATGCCAGGTTCCACACATGCCCTACAACAAACTGGCCTCACACCGTGCAGTGGTGTGCATGCCCTACGACACGAGCATCTTCCTCTTCAACGAGTTCTACTCAGCCAACATGCCAGTGTTCGTCCCTAGAGACCTGTGGCGATGGCTCATAGGCCCAGTCACTGCACCCATGATGGAGCATCGACACTGGACGGCCGACCAGGCCCAGGTCCCTGAGGGTTTGGGGGTGCCCCGGAGCTCCCCGTTCTACGCTTCCGTGCACCAGCCAATGGGTGTAGAGCAAGCGCTGGAATGGTCGGCGTACAGCGACTGGGCGATGATGCCACACGTGCTTTACTTCGAGGGGGTACCAGAGTTGTTTCTGAAACTCATGGATGCCAAGTCCTTGAACCAGGCGTCGGTCAGCATGAAGGTCTTCAACGACGAGGAGCTGGTCATTGCTGTGGAGAACTGGAGGAAGGTCGTCCAAAGGCCGGCCAGACTGCAGAGCAATCCGGAGTGTCGTCGTGCATGAGACATTTGAGGAATTCTTCTGAAAATTTGATGTACTTGAGTGGTCCAAGAATTACGTACTTTTTTCTTCTGGCGATTGATGCTGTCAGCTTGCCACTTCCTGCTTTATCTGTTGTTTGCTTTCTGCAGCCCTCATTGTTTTAGCTGCCTGATTTATTCCTTCTGCTTCCCCATTTTTCTGGTTTTCGTGTTTTGTGAAGAGGCTTGGACAGAACCCCCCAGTCCTGACCAGTCTGCACGTCTTGAAAGATCCTGCAGGCTGATCTACGCTGTGAGCGCCAACAACTAAGCGCTCGCACGAGATCGCCCGAGCACCCTACGGCCCTGCGAACACTCACGCCGGCCATGAGGAACATGGAGACGCAGAGGAGGTGAAGGACCTAGGCACAAGTTCGGCATGCCAGCACAAACGTGTTGAGAGCCGACGCAATGGGTGCATCGAAGGGAGACCAGCGCGTCGTACTGTCGTGGGAAAAGCCAGATGCATCCCGGGCACCGACTTCGTCTGACCGTCGCATCGGCAACACTCGGCAACGCTACAGCGCTCAGCTCCTCTGCTCGAAGCTGCTTTCGGCTCAGGGGCATGCCTCCCGATAAGTTTATCTTCAGAGCAGTGCTTGGGCACGGGCCTTTTCAAGGATTTCTTCAAACCCACGACCTTAGTCGATTAGCTGCAACATGTAGTGCTAAGAGTTGCTGCTGGTTTTGTAGTGTTGCTGGCAGGCAGCATCAACTGTCCTACTGCAGTCTGACGGGCGATCCAACGATGATTTGACACAGCAACAGCTCCACAAGAATCATATTGGGCATATTGGTGCATGGTCCGGCCCTGCTGGCGACGCAGCAATGGCATGCGGGCCCAGCTGCGGGAGATTCGAACTAGGATAAATAGGTTCGGCGCAGGAAGGAAATGACGAGCATCCAATCGTGGGGCAGCAAGTCAAGCAAGCCAGAGCTGCTAGTGTACCCTTGCAGTGCAGGTAGGTTCTCATGCCTCAGAAGCATGTTTCAATCCGACCTGGGAAATCAGCAGTTCGTTCAGAAGGACCGAAAGGAAGCGGGTCGCCCGCTTAATGTGGCACACTCTATGGAATGACCTCGTGAAATGTCGATCAATGTTGGTGATAGAGTGCCACAATGAACGTCCCTGCGTGCTTTCGACAGAGACCCCATGATCTCATAAGGGGCGAAAGACAGGTGGGACAAGGGTTTGGGATCAATGCAGCCGAAGCGGTGGGCCTTTTTGCTGTTTCCGAATGTTTATACATGGTGCAGCATGTCAAAATTGTCGTGAGTCCCTCCGATGTGGCCATGTACTTTTGGGATAGGAGAAGTAGGGGAGGGGCCTGCTGCGACATAGTGAATGAGGCCAACTCCGGCTATCGAGAAGGCAGGGCAGCGGCGCCGAACATCGAGTGCGAAGGTGCTGGATTCGACATGCCCTTCCGGACACAGCTTGCTTATGCAAAGATAATATGTCAATTTAGTGATCTACTTGGTCGTGCAGGTGATCGGCAAGGCGACTTCCAGGACATTGTTGATTCACCATATGGTGCTGTGCATGCTGAGCCGGGCAGCCCAGGAAGTTCGGGCTCAGCAAAATCCTGTCCTGTTCACTTCAGCACTTCCGCTTCCACTGCAGCTCAACTCGTTGAGGATGATCAGCGGCGATGGCGAGGAAGTCGAACTGCAGGGCAAGTCTGGGCTGTGGCACATGAAGAAGAGATAGAGCGAGAGAGAGAGAGAGAGAGAGAGAGAGAGCGTCCGTAGCCATTTTGGCTCAAGTGCTGCACCCTTTGCTTGGGGGACTGTTGCCCCCCCTTGCATAGGAGGGGGAGACGCGGGGTTGGCCCAGGGGGTGTTCCCCCTTGGGAGAGCCGCCGTCGTTTGCCCCAGCAGTGCTTGAGTCGCATAGCCGCCGCGTCTATCCTCAAGTGGCCCTTTCGGTTAGGACTTCGTGCGCGCCATTTTGTTTGGGCTCCGCTGGGTCGGGGAGAAGTTCACCGTCGAGAACGTGATAGTGGTAAGGACAAGGAGCGTGTGATCCTCACACTATGAAGAAAGCCGCAGACGATGATGATGCGGTTTCAAACGAGTTGCTCGAGGATCCTTTGCAGCAACTTTTCGGCATCTCGGGGACAGAACGGAGGCGATCTCCGCCACTGCGAACTCCTATTCGTGCATTGGCTAGCCCCCCTGCTGCACTCACGCCGCCCCCGCTTGCTCCGGAAAGCAAGCCTTCCGTGCCCTCGTCAAGTTCGAAGCCGAGCTCTCCGACTACTACGCTGACAAGGCTTCCCACTGAGAAGGAGAGCCCACCTCCTAGAGAACCGGAATGGGTACTACCGTCGCTCGAACAGGGCTCTTCCTCCAGCACCAGACGAGGAAGGATCATCAGGGGCATCTCACCCCTTGAGGCTGGTGCTGCTCGTGCCATACCGGCCCCAGCGATGAAGGCCACGCCAAACGCTGCTTCGGAACTACTTGGAGACCCTTGCCAACCTCGATTACCAGATTCGGCACTACCCGACCGCCCTGGCGAACCTCGACGATACGATTCGGCACTACCCCTACACCAATGGGAAAGTTCCCAGCAGCCCCAGCAACCTCAACTCCAGCCAGGACGAGACAGCTCGGGGGAACAGACAGATCAGGGGATCACCCCCATGCAGGACGGGGCATCTGTGCCCGATGGAGCTGAAGTTGATATCCGGGTTCTTCTCGAACCACTACCACCTGGATGGCACACAAGCGGAAACTTCGAATGGGGACTGCACCCCTCCCTGGACGTTTTTGAAGACGACAGCAAACAACCGGGGGATAACATCCCGGAGCTCGACTACAACCCAGAGACCTTGGACAGCATTGGCGCGTGGGAGAAATGTACTGATCCAGAACCTCCTCATACAACAGCAAGCGAGTACAAAGTACAGCCAGTGACCTCGGGGGCCGACCCCGAACAGCCAATCAAAGACGAGGTCGACTTCTCGAGAGATGGCAGCCCCGCGCCTCCGGGAAACACTGAGGCGTGTGACAACGGTGTTGCGCTTCCCGTGCTACCCCCGTCACCAACTGCGGCGACCGAGACCCTGGCTGATATAGCGGGAGCAATTCCCGACCATCCTATGAGCCCGCACAGTGAAGCAAGTGAGGTTGACAACACAGGGGAAAATCCCCCATCGCCTACCGGACCACCTCCTTCCCTCAGCGCCCAACAAAGAGCACGACTTCATGCTCTACTCCAGCAGAGGGACGAGTGGGGGCAAGCCCCATATAACCTCGACGCTTACAGTACCGACCAAGAGAAATGGCAGGCATATAGACAAGCAATGCGTGAAAGTTATCGACAACATCGCAAGCGAGAAAGGGCTCAGGGGACGTGGGCTAAGGACCGCTATGACTACCGTACAGGACAACGTCGTGGAGATGCCCCAGCGAACAATAGGACCCGGTCTCCACNNCACCGTCACTTGGTGAAGGGGAAGCTCCCCTACCTCGCCGAAGACAGCAACCTCGTGATGACAGTCGACGACGGTGACATCTGAGAGGGGAATGAGTTCCGCTGTACAGATCACTCCTGTACCAGGGGGCTACCCCACATTGCACCATATAGTTTGGATGCAAAATTTGCTTTTCCTTCCGGCAGTGTGCTGGAAAACAGGACCCAGTTGCCAGACTGCGCGGTGTTACTAGTTCTTTTACCTAAGCACATGGGCATGCACGTGTAAGACCACTCTCTTCCGCTCTAGTTCTCTCTCAGTTCTTTTCCATTTCGAACGCGGGGGTTCTCCCCCCTAGGGAAATCTTTTCCCCTGTACCATAAGACGGGCCGCTGAGCCAACCCAACTTCGATTGCCGTGCCTCCGCCCGAGGCTCTAACAATTTATTGCCCTGTGCTCCTTTTGCTTTCAGATGCAGTGCCTCAGTCAGCAGGGGGTCGTCCTCTAGGCCGGTTTGCTTCGGATGTTCCTTTCGGCTGGGTTTGCTTTGGTACGCTTCCAGCTTTTTCACTGAACCCTGACAGTGAGACACTGAGAAGCATGTACTGCATCAGAGAAGCCCTCCTGTTATGCAATGGCCTCGGTGACTAAGCTTTGTTGCCCTTCTGTACTTTACCTCATTGATGTTCAGTTGCCTTTTGGATTGCCATTGCCTACATTGAGAGCTGCTATTGGCCGTGGCACAGGTGATATTAACCTTGTTGTCGCGAGAGCCCTTTTCCCAAGTACGCCCACCCACAAGTTGGGGGCGCCGACGGCGCGCGGGCAAGGGGGGCAACCCCCTTGTCCCTAACCCTAACGAAA